CAGCGTTGTTTCCGTCCTTGAGGACGCCTGCGGGCTGACCGCCATGAAGAAGAGCCGGAGCCTGATCAAGGGCAAGGGGCGGGTCGCCTGCGGAATATTCGCGTTGCTGAACCTCGCTTTCATTGGGATTGAGCTCGGGTTCAAGATCCTGGTGGTGAAGGGGAGGGTGGCCCTGGGCTTGGGGTTTGGGGGGAGGTTTGGGTGCGGGTTGTTGTTCGCGGTGATGCTGATGGGGGTGGTTTTGCTTGGGCTGGTTGCGCAGACCGTGGTCTACTTTGTTTGCAAGAGCTATCACCATGAGAGCATTGATAAGTCGAGCTTGGCGGATCACTTGGAGGTGTATCTGGGGGAGTATGTGCCGCTTAAAGGGCGGGACGTGCAGATGGAGCAGTACTATGCTTGAGGCTTCTCCGGGGTTGTTCTCCGGTGATGGGTCTCTGTAAGTTTTAGCTTTCTTCTTCTTCTTCTTCTTCTATGTTGCTAATTCGGGTGATGCGTAGGTTTGATACGGGGAAGGATTCCACTGCAGACCTCTTAAGAATGGGCGAGTTAATGGAAATAATGGTGCTCCATGACTTAGGAGGACGGTTTGGTGATAGGCATCTCGTTTGGGTCTTTCTATTTTTGTTCTCTTTGTTCATCTCACTATGTCTGTAATTGTAAAACAGAATATACATGTGTATGTGCTTCATTAATGCATCCTTTTTCTTTATAATGTCCTTCTTTAATAGGCAGGTTTTTACTTAAATGTTATAATGTTTCTTGGCATTGCCGCTCGCAGATTGATCCTTGTTGCTCTGTTTGGGCTTCCCATAGATTGGTGATCACCGTGTGATTACTAGAAAGTGCAGATTGAACTGAAAGAGTTTTGTGTTGCTCTCATTGAACTATCACCATAAGGTACACAGATCATTTGGGGGGTGTATCTGGTGGAATACGATACGAGTCATTGATGGAATTGGATGTGCATGTTCAGGGCTACTGAGTCCTTTATTCGTTGTGAGTCTTGGCATGCCGCAAGATTTTACCTTCCCTTGTTTTCTAATTTCTCAATTAGTCATATGTGTCTCCGAGATGTCGATGAATTCCCAGTGAAAAAACCCCATGAGTGTGAACCGTTTGATAATGGGCTCATTTGAGGAACATAGATAATAATGCCGCCTCTTCCTCTATCTGCCGTCATAACTCACAGAAATAAATGAGCTTTGAGGACTCCACTTGTTTTGAGGAGGATATGCCTCATTGAGTTTTGAGTTTTTCTGTTCTTACTTCACCCCCTTCCTCCTCGTTTAATCTGTTGTCATTGTCAATTATCTGTGGAACCATTAGATAATTGGTTCTGGGGATGATTAAGTTGGATCAGTGTATTACTCTCATATCTCCTCATATTTGTATTAATTCGGTGGTAGTTTTTGCGTTGCCATTGATCCAATTCACCTTGTTATGTAATGCATTTAGATGTATTTTCCCCCCCTCTGCATATGGGTTTGTTGAGGAGACTGGCATGTATCTATATAATTTAAGGTCTCATGTGTTAATGTTATATCTGAAATTGCTCTCTAGATTTGGACGATGTATAGGTTTGATATAGGAAAGAATTCCGCCGAAGATCCATATTTATGCTCTCTTTTTCTCCAGGCGATATGCTCGTTCCATTGGTATCTGAATACTGAATTGGGTCCTTTTTTTTCCTTCCTTTTCTGTTTAATTTATTCTTGTTTGGTAATTGAATTTGAAATGCATTTGCATGTGTTTCCCTTTGCCTTTTTCCCCCCCGGCTCAGAATGGATTCTGTCTATCAGGTTGATTATCTAAGATAATCTTGTTTAGTTTAATCCTTACGTTACTTAGTGCCTCTCCCAAATTGAGCATGGCTACACTGTGCGTCCCCACAGATTGATGGTCACTGCTTGATTGCTGAAAAGAGCAGATCGAGTCGCAGGAGTCTTTGTTTTCCTCCCTTTGAGCTATCGCCATAGCGAGTATAGATCATTTGGAGGTATACTTTGTGGAATATACGCCATTATTTGTATTGAGGTGAGCATGTGGAGGAGTACTATGTTCTCCACTTCATAGTTGGTCTTTGTTATCTTGATTTGAGCTATGGCCATAGCGAGTATAGATCATTTCGGGATGCCATAAAGGTCCACTGAAAATCCCCATGAGGGTGAACGTGTTGATAATGGAATATAGTTTTAGGAACTAGTTGCTAGAGATATTGATGTTCATCTCTTCCTTTTTTCTATTGTGGTCATCTTGAGTTAATATGGAAATTACGAGTGAAGTGTTAGATGTCAGATTTGGAGTGAAATGCAATGCTACGATTGCGATTGAGCAAGTGGCCTCTTCATTGCCAAATTATAATTAGGAAGGGGAAGGCCCATACTCTAGAAAGAAATGATACCTGTTGCGGTTCAGAAGTAATGCACGAGTTTGGTGGAGGTATTTATTTGTTGGTTACGATTCTTGTCTCTGTTTCATCCTTAAATTTTCTTGGTTCAGTAACGTTTTCTCTGGGGCCTGTTTGGATTGGGGTTAATGCGAAGTAGTGAAAGCTAGGAGACTTATTAATCTTGTTTGAGAATTCATATGTGATAGATAATGGAGGGAAGTTAAGATAATTTAGGTAAGAAAATCTAAGATTTTTGTTCCCTTTGAGATTTTAGGCTGCGGTTTGGCAAGGGGTTAAGGAGGAGGGATTAAAGAGAAGGGTTAACTTAGTTAATCCATCGTGAAGGGTTAAAAAAATTCTAAACCCGTTTGGATACGATAGTTAGGACAAGGGGTTAAGTCTTTTGTGTTTGTCAAATGGAGAGGGGTTAAGGAGATTAATCTTATTATTTTTTTTAAAAAATACCACTTTCGCCCCTATTGAAAATTTATAAATAATTATCTCATCAAAAATGAAAAAAATTAGAAAAACTTTGGACATTCATACCTCAAGGTAATTCTTCAAATATGTGACAATCCACTGTCTCATTCACCAACACAATCAAATTGTAACAAAAAAGAGCTCAGATTAAATCTAGTTAACAATACACTGTCTCATTCACCAACTCAATCAAATAAAAAGCCAAGAGGAGCTCAAGTCGCATCTATTTAACGATCCGCTGCCTCATTCTCTAACCCTAGCCTCAAACGTGCCGAAAAAGCCCCACAAATCCAAACGTAGAACTACAAATTCTTCAAATAAACCAAATTACAAGGAAAGCGAGCTCATCTTACACCTTTCCGAAGATCCGCTGCCTCATTATCGAAAAATCATCACCAAAACCCCCAAATTCAAACCCTAGGACTACAAAACTCATAAAATAAACACAGTTCTGAAAATTAGTAAGAAGTTCAACACCGTAGATATCTGGCTAAAAAAACTTTCAATATTCTTACATTTTTGTAGCGTTCGTAAGCATAAAAGCTGATGGAAGCAATCGATGAGCAATCGTAACCAAGTTTCCTCTCCAGAAAGCTCTAAACCCTTCTTCACAAGCAATTCGGGAAGCCTCGCGCCATATACTAGCATTTCTTAGAGCCACAGCATCGGCGTGCATCCCTTGCACCTGAAGAAGATGAGTAATCAGGGTCATTAATCTATCTTTAAGAGTCTTGACTGAAATATCCAGTAACCAATTGCAATTAATCACCCAAATGACACTAAAAACAGTATCTTTCCCCAAAATACAACTGAATCTTTCCCTGTAAATCTAATACAAAGTAGAGAGCAGTGCATTTTCAGGCTTATGATTGAGACCTAGGCGTTAACCACCAAGAACGAATCTTTATACCTGAAAGAGGATGGTGAGGCGAGCGAGCGGAGCAGTGCAAGTTTTGCTCACAGCTCCGGCGACTCCTCCGGCCAAGAGATTAGTAATCGTCCCGATCTGAGCCTGTTGCTGATTGGGCGTCGAGTATTTAAGACCGCCGCCGCCTCCATGGACGGAGCTTAGAGCCCTATCGCAACTGTTGCCTCCGTCTGCATCGCGTTCTATGAGTTCCAACCATCGATTCCTTCGAACCCGTAGCTCAAATTTCGCTGCCTAATTCCCCTAACGAGACCCAAATGAAAAAATTCTACCCCCTACCCTCGCGTGGGAATTGTTTAAAAAAGTCTATTGCACAAAAACAATTTTACCCTTCTATCAAGATTTAATAGTAAAATGATTTAATTTAATAATGCCTTACAGCTTTGGTGCTCCATGAAGATTTGTTGGAGCACTGGTGGCATATCTGTAAATAAATTCCTTAAAAATAGCTCTCACGTCTCTAGATAGATAGATTTGACGGTTAGGAGGTGTTCCACACCCAAAATTATAATTAACCATAGGTGAAAAAGTTATTTTAGGAAAGACAATTTAGGAGAGAATTTAGAATTCTCCAACTAACTAATATTTCACATTATTATTTTGACGGTTAGGAGGTGTTCCACACCCAAAATTATAATTAACTATAGGTAAAAATGTTATTTTAGGAAAGACAATTTAGAAGAGAAACAGAATTTATGATTAGTTAGAATTCTCCAACTAACTAATATTTCACATTATAATTTTTATCGGGTTATCATGGGAGAACGAAAGCTCAGACATACCATGGAATAGTAGCAAGGAAGAAACCAATGATAAACCTTTAAAAATAGTTCTTGTCACATTACTGCTATAATAATAAAGAAGGACTACAAGAGTCCATAATAAGCCAAAATTAGCCATGGACTCATATAAAAGTAAGAAAACTAGGAGAAGAATGTACTTACAGAAACCATCCCATGCTCATTCCACAGCAGGGAAGACGTGGATGTCTTAGAGGTCTTCCTTCAACTACTGCTGCATAACCTGAGGAATTAATAAAAAATAGGAAGTTCAAATAATTAACGGGAAAATAAATTAATGAGTGTGGCCGTAACTTTCATTTTTCCACAACATTAATCATAAAACCTGGTATAAGCTTCAACTTAGGAGTGAAAATAGGAAGTTAAAATAATTAACGGGAAAATAAATTAATGAATGTGGTCGTAACTTAATGTTTCCACAACATTAATCATAAAACCTGGTATAAGTTAAAATAATTAACGGGAAAATAAATTAATGTATGTGGCCGTAACTTAATATTTCCAAAAATACCCTTTCTTATTTTAACTGATTTTTTTATTTTTGTCAATTTAATTTTTTTTTAAAAAAAGTCTATTTTTGGAGCACCAAAGCAAACCTTTTAATAATATGCAAGGTTATTTATCTAGAGTTACGTGTCTCTTACCCTTCCTTCACTTTATTAAATTTCTCAAACTTAGTGAAATAAGTTTCCCCTTAATTTTTCTTGCTAAAATTTTAAATAAGTTTTATATGCTACCTTACTTTCTTTTAACTTATTCTAGCTCACTTAACTTTCCTTTCACTTGGGGCAAATTTAAGCAGGTCCTTGGGTAAATTATGGGGTGGAAACCCGGGGGTTTCACGAAAACTTTTTTTCAACTATGCTGTAGAATTTCATGGAGGAATTGCAAAACAAAGATGATGCATCATTCTATATACTGTTAACGTCAAATCTTGCTTTATAATGTACAATAATATTTCCTTTTGCAATTTTTTTGGCAACGGATCTTTTATTAGGTAATTTAATTCTTTATTTATGAGATTGATTAATTTAGCCTGGCTTTTTTTTTTCGGTTAGTAGCTACGCTTCAGTTATTACTAAGAGCAAAAGTGCTCCTCAGGTGCAATTCCTAATCCTATATTTTTAGTAGCTACGCTTCAGTTATTACTAAGAGCAAAAGTAACCAAACTAATGCTTGAATCGTGTAATATCTCCAGGCAAAAGTCTTCCTCAGATGATGGTATCAATAGTTGTTGGGTTACTTGCGAATAAACCTCATGTAGTATCGCTCATTGTGGATAGACTCCTTGTAGTATTATTGGTGGGCTTGTAATATCTGCCCAAGTTTGGATAGACCCCCTCAGTGAATTGTTGACTTTTTTAAGAAATAAAAAAGGCTTAATTGCACCTAAATGCCTTATAGTTTCCTAGACCTTGCTCTTAAATGCCCTAAAGTGTTAAATTGAAGAAAAGTACATGAAAGTATTTAAGTGTTGCAAATGAATGCCCTATAGTTAAAAAAACTCAGATGACATTATCCTTTCTCTAGGTCACATAATAGAGGGTGTTAAAGTGAAACTTTTAGAAACTTTAGCGTATTTATGTGAGGTCATTTACAAATTTGAAACTTTTAGAAAATTTAGCGTATCTAAGTGAGGTTATTTACGAATTTTGGCATATTTATATGCAACAAGGGGTAAACAAGAGCTCACCAGCGTTCAACATTTTAAAATTTTAGAGTATTTATCTGTAATACATAAATACTTTGGGGCTTTTTTTGTTCAATTTGAAAAAAGAGGCCATTTAATTGCAAGTTCTGGAAAACGATAGCGCATGTAAGTGCAATTAAGCCAAAAAAACAAAGAAAAAAGAAAAGAAAAGAAAAAGGTAAAAAAGATAGCATTGGGGTCTTCTGCACTAACATAAATACAGAGCGTCTACCCGCCTTTATAAAACTTCTTACGACTATAAAAAAAGTAGAGAAAAATTCACGAGAGGCACTAGGGGCACACCCTCTACCACACTCCCGACCACACCACCTCTCTTGCTACAGTGCACGGGGCCCACATGAGATTTTAAAATTAAAATCTCATGTGGGCCCCGTGCACTGTAGTAAAAAAGGTGGTGTGGTTGGGAGTGTGGTACAGGGTGTGCCTCTATCATCATTTAAAATTCACTAGGGGTATACCCACATATCACAACTACAGGGGATCTATCTGCAAAGGGGGTCTATCTACAATTACTCCATAGCTTTTAGTTGCTGATGGTGACAAAAAAGATGATGATGATCTCGAGTTATTCTTCCCATTTCTTACGGATTTTGATATGTACTTTCCCTCACCCGCGTATTGCTTGAAGTGTTTTTGAGAGGGAGAGATAGATGGGAGACTTATTTTAGGGTTTCTGTTTATAGTGATTTTCTCTATGGGATAAGCCATTTATTTATGGGGTCATTTCTGCGATCGTCCGCCTTTGAGATCCGCCCTCAAAGTCCACCAAATCTTCAGTTGAGATAATTTCTCATGATCTCAATAATATCTTGTATTTACATGGAAAATTCTCTGACAGAAGAGGAGTCTGATCATCTAGAACGGAGCACAAAGGAAATTAAAGAAGGTAGCTCAGAGACTCGTGAGGCGAATGGGAAGAATCATACAGGGCGGTCCTTTAAACAATCGTTGATTTAGGGGAAAAAGGATGAGAGAGAGATGGTAGCGGCTGGAACTATTGAACAAGTGGTTCTCGAAGAGGATGAGGATTAGTTCGATGATGATGATATGGTTTCAGAAGGACTTGCTATACCCTTTATCGGTGTGGATAGGGAACAAAAGCGTTCTCTGAGGCACCCTTGGAGATTCTCGGTGATTGTGAAAGTTTTGGGACGTTTGATTAATTTCAACATCTTGCAACAGCGGCTACTCAAGCTTTGGCATTTTGATGAAGAGTCTGAGTTGATTGATCTGGGGTATGGCTTCTACATTGTTAAATTATCTGATAAAGAAGGATTGGCTCGTATTCTAACCGGAGGCCCTTGGAAGATAATGGATCATTATTTACTGGTGCAACGCTGGAAACCGAATTTTAAGCCATCTATAGCTACGGTTAGCAAAGCAGCAGTTTGGGTGCGTTTACCAGAACTTCCAATTGAGTACTTCAATGTTGATTTTCTGATGGGAGTAGGAAAGTTGTTAGGAACACCGATTAAGTTGGATACGAATATTACTATGGCTACAAGAGGTAAGTTTGCCCGCATTTGTGTTGAGGTTGATCTGGCAAAGCCTCTTATAGCAAAAGTGAAGATTGGTGGTTTTACTCAGTTAATTGAATATGAGGCTTTACACACGGTGTGTTTCTCATGTGGAGTTTATGGTCACCGTGTAGAACAGTGTTTGATGTACTAAGGGACTCAAACGGGGGAGAAGAACCAGGGAACGGTGATTCTGTCAATGGCGATGCTACAAAAAAGGAAAGTACACCACTAGACGAAATTTTCGGGCCTTGGATGTTAGCTCAGAGGAAATCAGGGCGAGGATCAGGGAGCAGGAATAAGAAAGTATTGACTAAAGATTTTGGAAGAGAATCAAATAGATTTCATGCACTGGATGACGAGGAGGAATTTGTGGGAGAGCAAAGGAACACTCATTCTGATGTGGCAATATGGAGTAAGTCAACCCGTGGAAATAGGGAGAGATTGCCTTTCAAGAAATATAAGGAAAAAATACGTCAGACCAAGATTGACTCTACTGAGATTGAGAAATCACAGGAAGTGATTAAAAAAACACAACCGGGTATGGCAACAAATCAGGCAGGTGATTTCGAATTAATTAGGCAGAGGACCAGCTCTGATGGGCCAGTTAGGGAAGGCAATAAAGATCCATTGGTGGAAGCCCACGTGCAGGAGGCTAGGCCTAAGATGCTAAACAGATTCTAAAATAAGGGAAATGTGTCACGTACAAAGGGCACTGGGCTTATGCCCCGCAGAACTCAAACATTCAAAAACCAAACAACCAAGTCTAAAACCTCCTTTAGAGAGGTTGCGAACTCGAGCGCACATTCTGCCCAAGAGGCAAGTGTAACATATGGTCCCAATCCAAATCCGAAGGCTCTCCAAATGATTTTGGCACCTAGTGGTACATAATTTGATTTTGAACATCATACGGACCCGCCAGAGAAAGCTTTGTTGGTTGGAAAAGCTACAGCTGACATCGGTTCTCTTGAGGTAAAGATGTGTGATGTTGATGATCAAAACATAGATGCAGGCACACACCATAGTGAGGAAGCTAAGCTTGTTCAACAAGCAAATATTCTTAAACATTCGGGTAGATGATTGTAGTTTCATGGAATTGTAGAGGCATTTGTAATAACATGTGCCTCAGGAATTGTTGAGATATTGTGAAGCTCCACAAGCCTGATTTCCTATTCCTTACGGAAATACGTTGTTCTAATTCAAATGTGGTCAGCTCATTTGGGAAAAAGTTAGGCTATAATTCTGTTGCCTTTGTGGAATCTAATGGTTTTGTAGGGGGATTGGTTGTATTTTCGAATTTGAGAACTGCTAGTGTTCAGGTTATTCATACGAATAGTCAGACCATTCATTTGCAAGTAACGGAGGATACAATTTCATATTTTCTCTCTTGTGTTTATGTTCGACCTCATGTTGTGATGAAAGATGCTTTTCAGGAAGACCTCCAAAACTTTGCAACTTCTGTTAATATACCGTGGGTGGTTATAGGGGATTTTAATGATCTGGCTTTCTCACATGAAAAGAGCGGTGGTGCAGCATTTGCAGTAAACCGTGCTAGAAAGTTTATTGATAGATGGGATCTTTGCAATTTATCCGACTTGGGTGCCTTCGGGTCTAAGTTCACTTGGGTACGTAAGATCAATGGGAGAGTGGTTGTTCGTGAACGCTTGGATCGGGTTCTAGTAAATGACTTGGCGAGGGAGGAGTTTGTGGAAGCTAAAGTTCTTAATCTACCCCGCCTCCATTCTGATCATCACCCGATTTTGTTTAACTCTACTATGATGGCACCGCCACCAAAAGAAAATCGACCGTATAGATTTCAAGCAGCTTAGCTTACTCATGGGGACTTCGACAATGTCTTTAAACATAGTTGGAGTAAGGGAGAGTCTCTCTTGAGTTCTATTAGTACTCATGTAGATTATATGAAAAAATGGAGTATAGATTCCTTTGGGGATATTTTCAGGAAGAAAAGAGTATTGACTGTACGTATCCAGGGCATTCAATCCAGCAGCTTTTATGATTATTCAGAGTCACTGCAAAAATTAGAGGTAGAATTGATTGAGAAATTCTAAAAAGTTCTGTACCAAGAAGAGTTGTTATGGTATCAAAAGTCTAGAACTGATTGGATTGGGGATGGTGAAAGAAATACTAGATTCTATCATCGCTCTACTATTATTCATAGAAATTTCAACAAAATTGCAGGTCTTAACATCCAGGATAAATGGGTGATAGAGCCGTCAATTATCAAAGAGTAAGCTGTTAATTTTTTCAACAGTCTTTTTGCATAAAAAGATACCTCTGAGTTAGGTGAAAGACTTAATCGATGGCAACCCATGCTATCTTTAGAGGAGAAAGAGAACTTGGTCGTTCCCTTTAACATGAAGGAGATCAGAATTGCATTATTCTCTATGAAAGGCCTTAAAGCTCCAGGACCATATGGTATCCAGCCGCTAGTTTTCCAGAGAGAATGGGATATTGTCAAGTCTCATATTGGGAAATTTGTGAATATAGCTTTGGAGGATGGTTCTTTTCCTGAAGAATTTTCCAAAGCTTACATCACTCTTATTCTGAAAATAGATAACCCCATGACTATGGCTGACTTTCAGCCAATCAGTTTGTTAAATACCTCATACAAGATTTTGACGAAGTTGATTGTTAATAGACTTCAACCACTACTCCAGGAGAATGTGGCTCCATTTCAGAATAGTTTCTTACCTGGGCGAGGCACAAGTGATAACATTATTGTCACACAGGATGTGGTCCATTCGTTGATGAAGAGGAAAGGACGTAAGGGAGGTGTAATCTTTAAGATCGACCTTCATAAAGCTTATGACAGCGTGTCTTGGGATTTCTTAAGGAAGGTACTTGCAGACTTTATAATTTTCCAGAGAAACTTGTTAAATTGATTATGTTTTGCTTGTCTTCTAATCAATTATCAGTGGTGTGGAATGGAGAATCCTTACCTTATTTTCATACTCAACGAGGACTTCGAAAAGATGACACCGTATGTTTTCATCCTCTGTATGAAAAAATTATCCTTCATGATTCAGGAAAGAATTCACAAGAAGAGATAGAAACTCATAAATATTACAAAACGAGGTCCTACCGTTTCACATCTTTTCTCCGCGGATGACCTCATATTGTTTGTGCAAGCTGATAAGAAACAAGTGGAGGTGATTATGGAGTGCTTAAATGCTTTCTCTAATGCCTCGGGTCTTTCTATTAATTTACAGAAATCCAAATTGTTTGTATCACCGAATGTCTCTCGACGGGCTGCTCTCTCCTTAAGTTCTTTATGTGGGGTACCACTTATTGAGAACTTGGGGCATTATTTAGGGGTGCCGATTTTACATGGGAGGATGTCTAGGCAAGCGTATGTCCCTATCCTAGAAAAAAATTAAAGCAAAACTAATGGCTTGGAAGAAGAATGTGATGTCTTGAGCAGGCCGCCGTACTTTGGTTTAGTCGGTGCTAAATGCTA